ACTTAATATACCAGATAAATCAATAGATTAACAAATTAGTTTAGTGCAGGCATTTGTATATGTGTAGCCAAGACAAGGCTGGGGAGGCAGCCAATATTTTTCTGTGATTCATCCACTAACTTTATTTCTACAGTAAACATAAACAGTGACCAGTACTGACCACTTTTATAATTACATGGTGCCCTAAATCAGTGCTGTAATAATCTCTTCATCTTCTGGTCTGAATTAGATGTTGGGCTGAACTTAACTTTTTTTTTGGCTTGAGTGCGAGTTGATTCAATTTTTTTTTGGAGGGTTTTTCATGCCTGCCCTGGCGAGTTTTCTCGATACATCTTACCAAATTCACTTCATTAGTTACCTATCCTGACCGTCACATTCAGATTCTAGCCTTAAACTACCATTCACTGTTCCCAGAGCAACTCACCACTATCAGGATATCCTGATGAAACAGTTTCCCTGGTATTGGCAATAGCAAGGACTACAGTTGCTTGAAGTCAGAGTCAATAAAATGTGGAGCTGGAGGAGCACAGCAGGTCAGACAGCATCAGAGGATCAGGAAAGTTGACGTTTTGGGACTGTCCTGTTGAAGGGCCCTGACCCAAAACATCGACTTTCCTGCTCCTCTGATGCTATCTAACCTGTTGTGCTCCTCCCTGGTGTTGGCACCAGTTTTATAAAAACCTTGGTGCATTCAGTTAAGCAATTTCAGTCCAGAGCTCCCTGCACAGTTCCTGACATTTTCCCCAAACCAGCGAAAATTGGCACACTGTTTTGTGGGAAGAGACCTGGAGGTCCTATGAACTGGAGTGGTGAGAGGCGAGATGTCCTCTTTCCCCAGGACTGGCAGAGGAGGCTGTGCCAACCTGGTCCAAGGTTGTCACCTGGATCAGTGCAGTCTCAATCATCTCGAGGAATACACAGCAATGTAGGAAGAACCACTCCATCAGCATCATCTTCTCTCTGATACCATACACTCATTCTACCTCTGTTTCTGTATCCACCTCCCATCAAGGCTCTGCCTCTACCAGTCTGTCTATTGCTGCAAGATCTTTTGGCACTTGCTGTTACCCACTTCCAACCCTGGCGCCTTAACCCTCCATACGCTGGGCTTGTCTGATTCTGCCACATTTCTAACTGTAGCCCATGTTGGTCAGGCTCCAAAAGATTCTGCCCATTGTTCTTTTTGAACATACTTTAATTTTCCAAAGCTGGATGAAAGCACCCACTGAGTCAAATAAATGTACAATTTTTAACAGATACAACTAACCTCACCTTGCTTCAGCAAACTATGCAACTCTTGTCAAAAAAAAAGCATTAATCTGCCTTACTGTTTGTATTATAGCAGACTTGCTTGACTTTCATGGTGAGCCTTTTAATCATTGATTTAGGATAAGTAAATTTTTGTTTCATTACATACTGCCTTTTCGGTGGTCTAGCTGGGTAACTGCCTTCTCTCGTGTTCATTGTTCTTTTCTCTCCATGATCCCAGCATTTGGAGGGCTGTCTCCTGACTGTTTCTTTGTTCAATAATTTGCTCGTTGGCCCATAAATGAATCATACTATTTCTCCCACTGTGCTGTTTTAAAGAATATACCTCTTGTGCTTCTTATGAACATGAACCTTTCTTTAATGAGCCTGGGATGAGGACCTTAATCCTTAGTGAATAGCTTTTGAAATAGACATAAGTTTCCCATAAACTGGCTTGTCCAGCTTTAGTGCATGTCTTCAGTGCCTGGTCAATCAATAAGTACACATTTCAAGTAAGTGATTTCAGCCTGTAATTGTTTTGCAAAATTGATTGGTTTAAATTTAAAGCATAAGACAAAAAAAAATGGAAGAACTGTGGATGCTGGAAATCTGAAACAGAAATAGAAATTGCTGGGAAACCTCAGCAGGTTTGGCAACATCTGTGGAGAGAAATCAGAGTTAACGTTTCACATCTGGTGACCCTTCCTCAGTGGTTCTGAAGAAGGTCACTGAACCTGAAACGTTAACTCTGATTTCTCTCTACAGATACTGCCATACCTGCTGAGATTTTCCAGTGATTTCTGTTGTTATTTAAAAATAACTTCTGCCCAAATGTCTTCTCTGAAGATGTTTTTTGACAATTCTGAAATAAGCAAATTCTTCTTATCTGGTAAAAACGACTGAATTTTTACTGGTAATTAACTGAACAGGTGACCGAGCCATTGGTCATGAAGAATAATGGGCTTGTGATCTCTAGGTATCATGCTAGATATTTATCTGGTTGAGAACATGATTAAATTTGGTACAGATAAATGTCAGCAAAAGTGATGATCATATCTCTGGAACATGATGATTCCTTTGCTGCAGGGACGATAGAGACACCATCAGTAAAGCAGAACGGGCCAGGGTTGAATATCATAAGCTGCAATGGCACACATATATTCTGGTGTTTTGCTAGTTTGCTTCAAGGAGCTCGGAAGAAATTTCTCAAACCTTCATTTTTGAAGTTTCGACTGTAGTTAACTCTTTCAGGGATTTAACAAGTTTCACTTCATGAAAGGGAAAATCACATTGTCTGCGAAGAATAGTTTAACAGCATAAATGGCATTTTCTTTAACTTTTTGTACTTTTTACACTCATAGTATTCACAAAAGTTGATATTTCCTGTTGTCATTAGTGCAAAGTACAGGCAAATAATTTCCAAGTTCTGTGCGCAGGTCAGAAGAAAGTAATTTTCGGAAACTGTAGGATGCCGGAGTTGTGTGCCTACAAATCAGTGTTGTGACACACTGCTATACCAGAAACACCTTATATAATATGATGATATGACCAGATGCTTCAGAATGCTCTCACAGCAATAATCCAATTGCTGCATTTACATTCACCAAATACAGCAACTTGTATGATAAATCTGTCCAATCATGGGATTATCTCAATACAACAATATCTATTAAATGCCCTTGTGCAAATTAAGTTCAATTTCTTCAGCAATCATGCATTTTGTGTTTAGGTTCTATTGTAATCTGGAATTAACGGTCTAATTATGAGCACGAAAGCATTGTCAGTGGTTATAGAAATCCATCCGTTATTTGCTTCAAAAGTAGACAGTGTGATTAAGAGAGCGTTTAGCGTGTTTGCCTTCATTGCTCAGACCTTTGAGCATCGAAGTTAGTAAAGCATGTTGAAGTTGTACAGGACATTGGTGAGGCCTCGGGGTAGGTACAGTGTAGAGCTGGAGGAACACAGCAGGTCAGGCAGCATCAGAGGAGCAGCAAAGTTGAAGTTTCAGGTCAGGACCCTTCATCAGGACAGCTGCACACAGTATTGACTCTAACTCCCACATCGGCAGTTCTTGCTATCTCATTGGTGAGGCCTCTTCTGAAGCACTGTATGCCATTCTGGTCACCCTACTATAGGAAGGATATTATTAAATTTGAGAGGGTTCAGAAAAGATTTTTCAAGATGTTGCTGGGAATGGAGGGTTTGAGTTATAAAAATAGGCTAGGACTTTTTTTGTCATTGGAGCATAGGAGGTTGAGGGGTGACCTTATGGTTTTATAAACCTCTATAAGGGGCATAGACAAGGTGAAAAGCAAGGGTCTTTTCCCTAGGTTGGGGGAGTTTAAAAGTATGGGGTATTTTTTAAGGTCAGAGGAGAAAATTTTAAAAAGGGTATGAGGGAGCAACTTTGTTGCACAGAGAGTGGTTCATGTGTGGAATGAACTGCCGGTGAAAGTATTGGATACAGGCACAGTTACAAAGACTAAAAAACATTTGGATAAGTTCAGGAGTAGGAGAGGTTTGAAGGGATATGGGCCAAATACAAGCAAATGAAGCTAGTTTAGTTTGGTAACAGAGCTGGTGTGGGCTAATTGGACCAAAAGGTCTGATTCCATGCTGTATGATTCTATGTCTCAATGGACTGCTGATCTTTTTGCTTTTGATGCTTTTCTATCTGACCTGACATTTCATATTTTGCATCATGGGCAAGGTCAGCATTTGTTGCTCAATCTCAATCAAGAAGGTGGTGGTGAGCCTTTCTCTTTAATTGCACTAGTCGATGTGGCCAAAGTACATTCACAATGCTGTTAGAAAGGGAGTTCTAGCTTTTGAACGAGTGTTAGTAAAGGAACATGAAAATACTTCCCAACTTAGGATGGTGTGGAGGGGAATTTGCAGGTGGAATGTTTTCCATATGTTGGCTGCATTGTCTTTCTAGGTGGTACAGGTTGTGGGTTTGGTAGGTACTGTCATTGATAAGTTGCTATTGTGAAGTTGGTTGTAGATGGTACACACTGTTAACTGGTGTCGGAGGGAGAGAATGTTTAAAGTGGTGGATGGAATGCCAGTGAAGCAGACTGCATTGCCCTGCTTGTTGTCAAGCTTCCAAATGTGTAACCTATTGTTGTAAGGAACTGAATTAATTCCCATGCAGTTTATACATTTCACTGGAGCTATGGGATGCTCACAGCTTAAACTGGTTTGCAAAAACAAATTTTATTGTTGGCACTTGTATGGTGTGGATCACTTGGAACTGGCAGCATTGAATTACCCCTGCTTGTCTCAGTTCCAACCTTAGTTTTCTGTGTGTTCTACCATTTTGCTTCTGTGTTAAGAGTGCTGATCTTAGCAATACTAAAGAAGGGAACGCAGAAAATAATGCTGATTTCACTGAGTTTCAATTGAATAAGTTGCAATCAGAATGTGTCTAAAAAAAGTCTGATTAAGAAACTAAAATTAGTGAGGTTGATCTACGTGAAGTTCAAACCTTGCACATTTCAGCAGACCATCAATATGTAAACTTACAAATGTATGAACAAAGTACAAATAGAGAATTGAAGGACCCTGATTATAGCTTTCAAACCACTGAAACTATTCAAGATGCCTCTCTCCAATGCACTTTTAAAATTCCTAATGTTCACACAGGCCATAAAATATTGCATGAGTTTAACTTCATTATTTTAGTCAAGGTGTAGAGATTAATTCTTCCTTTCCTATATTTATCTTCCTTTCTACACTTGAAACCAATGAAGCTCCAGAAGCATGATCAAGAGACACCTGAAGAATCATCCCAGTGGAGGACAGAGGAGGAGATGGCATCAGAGGCTGCTGACCTCAGAAAGTACTTCATCTAGTTAACAACAGCTACAGTATGTTTTTCTTTGTACATGCGCAGACAGTTAAAGATTTATTGAACTCAGGTGTCAAGTAGTAATATATTTTAAAGTAGTATTGGACAGTGTCCACTAATGTTTGCATAAATACGTTCAAATAATTGGCTTGGTTAGCTGTGATATTCTGTCTCCTTGTCTCTTTATTACAATCATGTTGCATGATTTTCAGCCAAGAATCAAACCAGGAATATGGAGAATTTGGAAGGTTAAATCAGTGCTTTTCCTGAATTGTGTGTGGACTCGTCACAACTACAACTGATCAAACACTACTCGAAAACCAGATTTCCGGGGCATCAACTAATCATTTATCTAATCAACCTTAAAACCAGAGGTTCTTGCAAAGCTTTGGCAATGTACCTTATTAAGTGTGACTCTTCCATGTTGTACTGAAGTGCATAACCTAATTTCTTTATTAATTCTGATTTAGTTATTTTGATTAGTATGTAGATTTTCATTCAGTGGAAACTGTTTCATTCAATATGTTAATGTTCTTGAATGCTATTAAAGAATTCTCTAAAAATGTAACAATTGTCAAATGAGCTTTGATTTAGGTTTTGTAATTATGACATTGAGAAATGAGTGTCATGCAAAAAAACTGCTATTATAATGGCTACGTTTTCCACTTTTTACTCAAGATTGTGAAAATGTAAATACGAGTAAAAATTGTGGAGCATTTTATTCTCATAACTACTTATTTGGTAAAAATATCTAATGGAGGAAGGCATCCAGTCAGCTGATTAAATCATCAACCTCACAGTATACTTGGATATGAACATAGTGAAAAGTCACACAAGGCATTTTGGGAACATTTTATGACTTCCACTTAAAATTAGTTCTGTTTGATAAATGGCACAACTCTTAAGGCAGACCTTAAACTTTTCAAATCATCTGAAAGGAACTTTTTTGTTTCTTTATTTTTCAGTAATTTTATCCATTGAAATTTAATTGACCAATAACAGTTAATGTTTTCTTTTGATCTTTTTAACTTACATGGACTTTAAAGATTTCTTAAACTTACTGTCAAATGGTAATACATTTTAGTGTTTTAGAATGCTTTGGATGACAAGAGCATTGGACAACATCCTCTCCTTAGGTGATCCCTCAGGCTCACAGATGACTTGCTTCCACTCTTATTTGATGGCTTCAGAGATGGCTTATAAGTCCAATGTGCAATCTGCTGAGGGACAGGAGTTGCTGGAAGACTTGGGTAGCTGGTTTGTTTGGTTTATGCGCATCCTTAACCACCTTCACTTTACCTCTGCACATTCCCATTGAAGTCTGTCAATGTGTTCGGTGTCTTTCTGAAGGAGCCTTCTCCATTGGTTACAAATTGGGGCCTCGAATCAGTCGGAGGTATTGTTGACCTATTCAGGGATGCTTTGAGGGCATTCCTAAAATGTTTCCGTTATCGTCCTGAGAGTTTCCTACAGTGTCCAAGTGAACCATTTGTTTCTGGAGGTTGGTGTGTGGCACATGAACAGCATGTCCATCCAGCAGAGCTGGTTTTTAAGTTGTTAGAACATTGTTGCTGAATGACTTAGTCTGGGAAAGGAAAATTTTGGACCACTTTACTTGCCACTAGATTTGGAGAATTCTTCTCCAGTGTTAAGGTGCCCACTGAAGGTTGGCCAAATCTCCAAAGCATAGAAGAGCATGGTAATCACTGCTGCCTGGTAAACTATGGCTTTTGTGTGGATTTGAGATTCAGATCCTCAAAAACTTTTTTTTTCCTCAGTTGGTTGAAAGCTGAGCTGACTCTTCTGAGACGGTGATGATTTCTTTGTCTCTGCCTGCCTGCCTGCCTTGAGAAGGTTCCTAGCGATGGAAAATTGGCCATTTCCCAGGATCTTGCCATTGAATTTAATCACTGCAATATTGCAACTCACCTCCAGCAAATTACCTGCAGGCAAGGTGATAACCTGCAGAGCTGACAGGAAACTGTCCAATCAAAGCCACCTTCAATCTGAAACCAAAACATCTCTAACATCTGTCACTCAGTGTCAGTTTGTATCTGATGACTGTGTGTGGGCTCAAACAGAAACTGAGCTCCAGGTCATTGTTGACTCTTTCCATGCAAGATAGAGAAAAAAGGGACCTTTCGCTGAACAGTCATAAAACTAAGATCCCCTTCCATCCAGCTCCTGGAGCAAAACCACTGCTCTATCAATTAAACATCCACTAACTCCTACATGAATAGGTAAAAAATAGTTGCACAGTATTCAACACAACAGCAAAAACCATAAAGTAAATCAATCTATTTCCTGGCACATGGAATGTCATCCAACCTAATTTGATCTGATCATTGTTGTGCTGATCATTACTTCTCTTATCCTGATCCTCCCTGTTGTCGTCACTATTTTTATGTTGTTCACAATCTAGTGAATGATTCATGTTATCTGTTTCTGCATGTCAATGCTCACAGCCACCATCCACTTCGCTAAAACTTGACTGCAGATCACACATTCTGGATTTGCACTCCAATCACAGTGGATAGATCAAAGTAGCTAAGCTGAGAGCCTTTGTATCAACTCAAATGAAGCATAAGCAATCACTCATTATATTTATTCCTTAAGAATAATTGTAATGGTGAATTCAGTTCATAATGGAGTTTACAATATTTACAGTGACAGAAGAGAAACAAAATCTGTAAATATTCAACTTTTCAGACATGAAAATCTAACAATGAATTACATTTGCAAGACCTCTAACTCGCTTAAGTCTCCATCACAGGCTTTTTCTTTTCCAATTTTGAGCTGTTCCTTTCTGATCTAGCATGTTCCTCATTTCTCAGTAATTGTAAAGGCAGTAATGTTGCTGTCACATGAATGCTGATTCGAACATTTCGTGGTCTTTTAAAGGTGCATTGTCATCTGGATTGCAAGCCGATAGCCAGGCATTTTCATTCTTCAGTGAAACAGCAGTGTTTATCACTAATATTGAAGAATGCTATCTTTAAAGATCCTGCAATCTCTGTAATACTGACTTACCTTCCCAAAACAAAATGCAGAAGGTTGAGCAATATCTGTAGAGAGAGAAACAGAGTTAACATTTCAGGAGCAATTACAGAAAACACTAAGTTTTGCCATCATTATTACCACAAAATCCAGGCCAGTAATTTTTTGCGTTAACTAACTACGCACTGAGGAGTACGTGGTAAAATGGTTCACATCCAAAACTCTTTCCAATAATTCTATCCCTGGATATTGATGTTTTCACATAATGACAGACTATGTTAAACTCTGTTTTGTTATTCCAGATAAATTAGGTTCAAACTCCCAATATAAACAAAATTGGCACTTTTCTTCCTCTTTTCAACAGTATAACAGCACCCAATTACACTGTTTCTTCTTTATTTTTCTATGAATTATGAGACAACACTGGCAAGAATAACATTTGTTGTTCATCCCTAATTGTGCATGAACGGAATACATTGCCAGGCCATTTCAGATGCCAGTTAAGAATCTACTTGAAGAAATCAGTCATGTGGGCCTGGTGTCACATGTAGGCCAGACTACAGGTTAAAAACAGCAGATTTATTTCCTTAAAGAACATTAGGGATTCAGATAGGTTTTACAATGGTCAATGAGAGTTGTCATGATCAGTGTTACTGATAATAGCGTTATATTCCAGAATTATTACTTGAATTTAAATTCCATCAGCTATCATGGTGGTTTTTGAACAATCATTGTTCAAATGGTTCATTAAACCATTTAAATGATCCATTAAATCATTGTTCTTAAAGAGGCATTAGTCTGGCCTCTGGATTCCTAATCCGCTGATAATACCATTACACCACCATCTCCAAGACTGACAGTTTAGATATCAGTCAAGTGTAGTGTTGAACAATTTCAAGATTATCAGTTTTTCAGTCAAATCAATGTTTGTCCATGAACTAAATGTCTCTGTTGCATATTGTTTTGATCTATCAAAAATAGTTCTTCTGTCAGGCTTGACAAATGAATAAAAATGGCATATCTGTTGATGTCTTGTGTGGTTAATGTCATGCTTTACAGCAATGAGTTGGGCTTGATTCATATTCTGTGCTCACACACTGTGTAAGACTCAATTCTTTAGTTCTGTTATGCACTACGGAAGCCCAGGGTTTGTGGTACTGCAGATAAGATGGGTCTGAAAATCTATCACTGTTACTTGATAAGATGAAAGAACAATGAAATGACAAGAAAAAAAAATGACCTTTTGGATAACATGTTACTTTCCATTATGTTTCTGTTGGATTTGTGGATAACTACAGTCATCAGACATTACAGAAAATTCCTGAACATTTGCACTCAGGCCATAAGGAGGGCTTAAAATGCCATGAATAGTATTTGTAAATACAATATTAACATTAGTAGTTAAACAAATTTTTTCAGGAGGATTCTTTCTATACCCAGCATAAGCTTTCTGATTCTGCTAGCTGCTAAACTAATTCCTCTGATTTAGATTAATGATTCACAATTCCTTTCCAAAGTTTTGATGTCATTATCTAGGACTTGCAATGCTTTTGAATTAGTTACAAACATGGGAAAGGCTCTGGTTGATTTAAAGTCATAGAGTCACAGAGTCATAGAGTTATATAGCATATAAAACAGATCTTGGTCCAACTTGTCCGCGCCGAGCAGACAGCCCAATCTGACCTAGTCCCAATTGCCAGCATTTGGCCCATATCCCTGTAAACCCTTCCTATTCATATATCCATCCAGATGCCTTTTAAATGTTGTAATTACCCACCTCCACCACTTCGTCTGCAGCTTGTTCCTTACACACACTACCATTTGCATGAGAAAAAGTTACACCTCAATTTCTTTTCAAATCTTTCCCCTCAACTTAAACCTATGCCCTTTAGTTTCAGACTCCCCTACCCCAGAAAACAACCTTGATTATTTACCCTTTGCCCCTCGTGATTTTATAAACCTCTATAAGATCACCCATCAGCCTCCAATGCTCCAGGGACAAGAGCCCCAGCCTAGCCCACCTCTCCTGATACTTCAAATCCTAGCAACATCCTTGTAAATATTTACTGAACCCTTTCAAGTTTAACAACATCCTATAACAAGAAAGTGGCTTCACCATTGTCCTGTACAGTCCAACATGATGTCCCAACTCCTAGACTCAATGCACTGATCAATGAATGCAAGCGTACCAAATGCCTTTTTCACCACCCTATCTACCTGTGACTTCACTTTTGAAGGTACTATGCAAGTTCGGTAACACTCCCCAGGGTCCTACCATTAAGTGTATAAGTGCTGCCCTGGTTTGCCTTGCCAAAATGCATCACCTCACATTTATCTAAATTAAATTTCATCTGCCACTCCTCAGTCCATTGGCCCTTCCGATCACAATTCTGTTGTATTCTGAGATAATCTTCTTCACTGTCCACTACACCACATATTTCGGTGTCATCTGCAAACTTACTAAACATGCTTCCTATGTTCACATCCAAATCATTTGTGTAAATGATGTAAAGTAATGGACCCAGTACTGATCCTTGTTGCACACTGTTGGTTACAGGCCTCCAGTCCAAAAAACAACCCTCCACAACCACCTTCTGTCCCCTACCTTCAAGCCAATTTTGTATCCAATTGGCTAGCACTCTCTGGATTCCATGTGATCTAACCTTGCTAACCAGTCGACCATGCAGAACTTTGTTGAATACCTTGCTGAAGTCCATGTAGATTCATTTAGTCACTCACAATTAGACAAATTTAATCACTCAAAAATGTACAGTTGTTGCTGTATTTTTAATTTCATACACTTACCACAAGATCCCCAACATATGTTTCATAAATATCAGTACAGTTTACAGCCCTGATGATTGTGACATCAAAGTGTAACACTTGGATGAATGCTGCTTGTTGAGGACATCGGTTTCTGAACAAGAAAATATTGGATCATTGCTTAATCTAATGTCTTGGACTAAACATTGCTGTTTGATCATTAAAAATTGGAGAAATGTAATGTATACTCTCAGTGGACTGCTAAATATTAATCACACTCTCCATACTGAATTTGACTCAGCCTGGACAAAATACCCATATTCATTTTGGTGCGACAGATTCACTTGATGCGGATCATTGCAATTTTGAATAATAATGTTATAATTATGCATTGAATTACCATGGGATGTGCCATTAAAGATTGGTATAATAGTAATCACAATTGAAGAAAAAACAAATTTGCATTTAAAGAGTGACTTTTTTCACACCCTCAGTACACTGCAAAGCCCCTTGTTGTCAATGATTATTTTTGAAATGCTGTATACAATAGTAATAGTTGTTATGTAACTAAGCATCACTTTTAGACAAGATGGCAGCAGAACAAGATGCTCCAGTCAGAGCTCCTTTGTTCGCTAGTTCCTTTTCCTCTTTCTTTCTTTTTTTTTGCCTCCTTACAGCAGTTTTTCTTCCCTCTTCCCCCTTCCCCAACAAACTTTTAACTTCCTAAACTAACCCCACCCTACCTGGAGATTCTCATTCTGGACTTTAAAACTCTGTATTCCCATGCTAATCTTTTCTTTAAACTATTTCAGTTCTGTGACAACATTTAAAGTATCTGTACCTGATTTGATGGTACCGAGAGGTGACATCACAAAATTTTCACTGCACTCATTCGAGTGCATGTGACAATAAAGTCTATTTATAGTTTGCAAACAGCAATGAAATGAATGATGTCTCAGTGATATTGGTTGGGGGATTAATTTTGGCCAGAACACCGGGAGAACTGCAACGCTGTGTAGTGATGTAGTATCATTTATGTCCACCTGAATAAGCAGGTGGGACTTTAGTTTAACATTCCATCTGAACAGCTATGGCTCCAGTGATAACTCAGAAATGTGTTAGGAGTGGGTGCGTCTGAATTCATGCAGCAACTTTGGAATAATGTTCAATGTAATTTTTTTAGTGGCTTTTCTTTAACCTCATCAACTCTTTCGCACTTTATTTCTGGATTTGATGCCTGATGCATGGCAGCAGGCATAGTGAGGACTGGCTTGATACAAATACATCTCCAGTACTTAGAATTTGAAGGACTTGGAATTTTGGAATGTGAGGAAATCAATGTACAAAATTAGGTTCCAGAGAGCAAAGGCTTCTTCACGTTTCAACAATACCTCACTTGATGTATTGTTTGGGTTCATGAAGAATTGGAGACATGAACTCTTTCCCCAACAATGGAAAGAGAAACTTGCTGCAGCCATAAAGTAAGAGTGGCCTGAGCTGCGTCGAGATGTCAACAGTGGCACTGTGGGCTGAAATTAGCTAAGAGTCAATTCTGTGCAGTTTCATTGAGAGTTTCTCTTCCTGAGCTGCAGGGAGTTATCTCACGTTATTCCCATTGCTCACTTCACTATCTACACACCATACCTCTATGCTGCTGTGCTCGCTCTACACCACTCATAGGCATCACAAATAATCGCCATTCCAGACGTTCCACTGGTGCCATATTTAAAACAAGCCTCAGCAAGAAGTCAAATGCTGCCAGATGCGAATAGGCCTCACCGTACTGATATTTAGGAGGCAAGCAAAAAAAGAGAAAAGCTCTTAACAGCAGATATGTGAATGACACTTTACTAGAATGAAATTTCACACTTCTACATTTATTACCTCTTTACATCAACAGCTGTCATAGCATAGCATCGTGTCATTTTCAATATGGGAGCATCACTTGTTGGAAAACCTTCAACCAGTTGATTTTATTGAATGACATCAAAAATGAAGAAAAAACAGATATACAAAAGCTGCATGTGCTTCTGTGACTAAATAGGGCCTGCTTGCCTTTCTACCAATAAGAAAGTTTAGGCTGAAAAGTGGCAAGTAACATTTGCACCACATAAATGCCAGGTAATGACCATCTCCAATAAGAAAGAATCTAATTATCTGCCTTGACATTTAAGGGCACTACCATCACTGAATACCCCACTATCAACATCCTGGGGGCTAGCATTAACAAAAAACGAAACTGGACTAGTCATATTAACACAATGGCTCCAAGAGCAGGTCAGAGGCTAGGAATCTTGCAGCGAGTAACTCACGTCCTGGCCCTCCAAAGACGGTCCACCATTTACAAGACACAAGTCAGGAGTGTGATGGAATACACCCCACTTTCCTGAGTCAATGCAGTTCCAACAATGCTCAAGAAGCTTGACACCATCCAGAATAAAGCAGCCTCCTTGATTGATACCATATCCACAAACATTCACTCTCTTCACCACCGATCTCAGTAGAGTGTATCATTTACAAAATGCATTACAGAAATTTACCCCAACTAACTCCCTAACCCCCAACTTGGAATGACAGCCCTGAGTGATGATGACCAGCCCCCTGACTGATCTCTGTGCAGCTCCCTGACTGATTTACCGCTAATCCCTGCACTGGTTATTCTGGACCTGCAGAACTGATCACAGCCCAACCCCTGGACTGAAAAGTTATGGAACACCTGATCCCTATCACACATAGTGGCCAGCTGACCATGTCCATGCCCCTAGACTGAGATCAGATGATGTTCATGACTGACTGTGGTGGGACCACCTGACTGACAACAGTCCCCCTTGACTGAGGACTGATCCCTGTGGACTTGGGGACAAGGCCATTTGGCAAAAGCACATTCAATGTTGTTTGAAACATAAGCCGCTGGCAGGTGTGAAATGGATGGAGTACACTGCGGTACAGCAACCATCCCTTTGATAAATCTTTGCTGGCAAGCATCACAGGTTGCTGGCTTTGTGTCTTGCTAAAAGGCAAAGCAAGGCAGAGGTATTGTGAGGGGATAAGGTATAAATGTACAAAAAGGCAAGGCAGCAATGCACTGAACGTCCAGGTAAGTGCAAAGTGAGTGAGCACTAAGAAAGAAAACTAAGGCCCAGACATGCACGCTGTCCTGATACATGAGCTGGGGGCTGCCCCTCCTGGCAACAGCATTGTAATGAAAAGTGTTAGGGTGCTCCAAAGTGCAGTATTGAAGTGTAGAA